CCACCCCCATACCCTCCCCCCCACTGCTGCACCCGCAGCAGGGGGATGGAGGAGAAGGGGGGGGCGGGGGGGCTGGTGCTGCAGATCCCCTCCCCCCACTGCTGCACCCGCAGCAGAGGGATGGAGGAGAAGGGGGGGGGGGCGGGGGGGCTGGTGCTGCAGATCCCCTCCCCCCCACTGCTGCACCCGCAGCAGGGGGATGGAGGAGAAGGGGGGGGGGCGGGGGGGCTGGTGCGCAGATCCCCTCCCCCACTGCTGCACCCGCAGCAGGGGGATGGAGGAGAAGGGGGGGGGGGGGGGTGGTGGGGCTGGTGCTGCAGATCCCCTCCCCCCATTGCTGCACCCACAGCAGAGGGATGGGGGAGAAGGGGGGGGGGCGGGGAGCTGGTGCTGCAGATCCCCTCCCCCCCACTGCTGCACCCGCAGCAGGGGGATGGAGGAGAAGGGGGGGGGGGGGGGGGGTGGGGCTGGTGCTGCAGATCCCTCCCTGCCACCCCCTTAACCTCCAAGCTCCCCCACTCCTCCCTACACAGCGACAAGTGCGGCAGGGAGAGAGAGGAGGAGGTGGTGGGCGGCTGACTACTCACACCCGCCACTCCCATACCCTCCCCCCCACTGCTGCACGCGCAGCAGGGGGATGGAGAAGAATGGGGGGGGGGGCTGCTGGCTTGGTGACGAAGCAGAGAAGCGGGGCGCTGGAGGTGCAACCCCCCCCCAACACCACTCCTGCGTCCCCCCAACACCCTCCCCCCCCCCTCCCCCTGCCCAAACTGCTGCACGCGAAGTAGGAGAGGGAGAAGGAAGTGGGCGGCGGGGACGACGGGAAGTAGGGCAGCGGGGCCCCTGCGCGACGGGCAGAAAACCGTCGCACGCTGGGGGCGAGCGATGGTCAGGATACCGTCGCGTGCTGGGGGCGCGCGACGGGCAGAAACCGACACACGCCCGGGGCATGCGACGGGCAGAAACCGCCACACGCCCGGGGCGTGCGACGGGCAGAAACCGACGCACGCCCGGGGCGTGCGACGGGCAGAAACCGACGCACACCCGGGGTGTGCGACGGGCAGAAAAAAAAAACGTCGAGTGCCAGTGAGGCGGACGCCATGCGAGGATTGAAATATGGTGGGCCCATTGGGTCGTAACCACTCTAATACCATGTTAGAATCGTAGCTAGGAAGGTAGGAACCATGCTAGGATGTCGAGAGTGTTGAGGCAAGGAATGTCGAGGAAGAATGTTTCACTAAAGGGCCAAAGGCCCAAGTTATACAAGAGACAAGTAAGGAGAGGGTGCACCACAAGCAGGACAGCGATATAACTACACTACAGCTAGAACTACATGCAGTTATATAGAAATATATTCTGACAATTTGACACACCCCCATAGGCTAAGTGAGGGGCATCAAAACAAGCAAAGGAAACAAAGGGTCACAAGACCAGTCAAGAGAAACAACAAGGAAACGCACAAGGTGGATCTTAAGATCACCACACATTCCGAGCACAAGCAAACGGCCACAAGGCCAGTTCAAGAGTTCACAAATATACATATACTAGACGCTAGGGCCTTGGTGAAGATGTCTACAGTGTTGGCCTCTGAGGCCACGAAGTCCAAGCGTGCCTGGCCGCGTCGCTGCAACTCTCGCAGGATTTAGTACATCACGTCAATATGCTTCACTCTTCTCTCCAGTCGAGGCTTTCGACACAGGAGGATCATAGCCTTGTTGTCAGCAAAAAAGGTCGGTGCAGATTGAGGCCGCTCATGAAGGTCGACGAGCAAGAAGGTCAATCAGCGAAGCTCCTGTGCAGCCATGGCACCAGCATAGATGTCAACCTCTGCACTAGACGAAGCCACAGACGACGACCGAGTAGACCTCCACAACACACCTCCAGCGCCCAAGCTGAAGCAGTACCCTTGAGTGGACGACTGTGTCTCCACGTCGTCGGCGTAGGAAGAGTCGCAATGACCGGTCAGAACAACTGGCTTTCTCCCTCCAAGCACAAGCCCCATGCCTGATGTAGTCGCCAAGTACTTCGCAACAAAGCGAGAGAGGACGCTGAGAGGAAAGGCGAGGTCCGGACGAGTACAAGTCATCAAGTACACGAGGCAGCCCACAAGCTCTGTGTAGGGATCACTAGACTCAGAGGGCTCGTTGGAAAAAGGGCCAGTGAATCACCACTTCTGTGGTGGAGTGCTGAAGCCCGAACCGCTGAAGGACCTGCTACACCATGTGTGACTGTAAGAGTGTAATAGTGCGAGCGGCTCTGTCCCTAGTGATCTGCAAGCCAAGGTAGTGGCGCAACTCACCAAGGTCAGTGCATGTGTGTCTCTTCTGCAGTTCGGACTTCACCTCAGCCAGAGCGGCCCTGTCTGCTGTAGCGAAGACCAAGTTGTCGACGTAGACGAGGACGAAGAAATGTGTGGGCCCAGAACGAACGAACAGCGACGTGTCGGCGGACGAAACCCGGGGGCAGAAAGAGAGGTGCGCAGCGTGTCATGCCACTCTCGCGGCGGCGCCTAGCGGAGACCGTAGACTGGTCGTCTCAGGCTCCACTGGGGCCCAGCGGGAAAGTGCCAGTGAAGCCAGGAGGACGATGCAACCAGATCTCCTCGTGCAGGCTGCCCTGGAGAAAGGCAGTGGAGAAGTCGAGGGAGTGCGGCTCGTAGTCTCTCAGCAACGTGAATTAACACCCGAAGAGTCGTCATCTTCGGGGTTGGGGTGAAGGTCTGGAAGAAGTCAACCCCCTCACGCTGACTGGAACCTCTAGCCACGTAGCGCGCCTTGAAGACAGGTGGCGATCCAGGCGGCCGCTTCACCTTGAAGATCCACATGCCGTCGACTACGTTCGCCTTGGGAGGGGGAACTGCGTCGATGTAGGTGCCAGTAGATCTCCAAGATGCCATCTCTGAGTCCATGACCGCTTTCCACTGAGAGGGCCATTGCCCTGACACTGCCTCACGGTACATGCGAGGAGTCGGAATGTCAAGGGCGTCGGGTGTCAGAATCCCAACCACTATACCATTGGGATAAAAGGGCTTGTTAAGTAGCGGGTCAGTGCGTCCATAACCCCCCTATGCAACGAGCCTGTAACCCTTCCCTATGATCAATCGGGAATCACCAGTGGACCTCTGACACCCCCCCGCACTGGGATGCCCGAAGTGCACACACTGGGATTCGAACCCGAGACCTTCGCTCTGATACCATGTCAGAATCCCAACCACTAGACCATTGGGATAAAAGGGCTTGTTGAGTAGCGGGTCAGTGCGCCCATAACCCCCCAGGACAACGAGCATGTAACCCTTCCCTAGGATCAATCGGGGATCACCAGTGGACCTCTGACATCGGGGTCTCCCTCAGGGGAAAGCAGCATGGCACAGAGAGAGGGAGAAGCGGCTGCCAAGAACTCCAGCTCAAACTGTCTGTCCTTTAAGACGTCACAGCCAAAGGCAAACTCACCCTCGGCGAACAGAGGACGGGTAGGCGGAGCATCCACTACACGTGTGGCGAATTCAAGGCGGCAGGTGGCAGCAAAGTTAACAAGAGCGGCAGTAAGAGCTGAGACAGACGACGGAGAGGCACGAGGGTCGGTGACAAGAGAGGTGAGAACACACGAGACAACAGGACGAGCAGCACGGTAGTAGTCAGTGATAGGGTGAGAGGAGACTGTGAGAGACGACGAAGGAGGTGGAAGGGGAACAGAGACAGGCGGAGCACGACGAGGACTAGAACGAAATAAGACAGTGCGGAGGTCATCAAAAGGAGATGAGGGACGAGTGCGCGGAGGACAACGAGTGGTCCAGTCGTGCGGGAGAACAGGAGGAGGCGACTGTGATTGAGGAGGACAAAAAACAGCTGGAGCCGAGTCCAGAGGAGGAAATGTAGGAAGGTACGCGGTAGGAGACTATGAGCGGACAGGAGGAGAGGAGGGAAGACCAAGTGCCCGAAGGCCACTCACTGGTGGGAACAACTGCTGAAAAAGGGGCGGCTGCTGAGCCTGCTGCTGCACCTGCTGTTGCTCCTGCTAGTATAGCTGCCGCAGCTCCTGCCTCTCCTGCTCCAACTGCTCCTGCTCCTCACGCTCAAGCCGGCGAAGAGCCTGGAGACGTGTGTCGTAGCGGTGGGGAGGCGCAGTGGGCGCCATTGTTGTAGTGCCTCCAGCTCGAGTCGCCTCAGAATTAGCACCTCCAGTGCCAGAAACTCTAGCTCCAGCACCTCCTGCTCCAGTACCCTTAGAACTAGCACCACCAGTGCTAGCACCTCCAGCTCCAGCTCCCCTAGAATTAGCACCTCCAATGCCATTACCTCCAGCTCCAGCACCCCTCGAACGAGCACCCCCAGACCGAGTACCTCCAGTAGCAGCACCTCCAGCTCCAACACCCCCTGAGTCCACAGTAACCTATCGCGGAAGTGCCGAAGGCTGCTGAGGGGACTGTGAGGAGGACTGCAGGGAGGGAGACGCTGCCTGACGCACGACCGAGGGTAAAGGGGTAGTGTGAGACACACCTGACGAGGCAGGACTAGGGGGAGGGGGGGCGGGGGGTACTGGAGGAGCGGGAGCAAGTGGAGGAGATGGGGCGAGGAAGAGAGGGGGAAGGGGGAACCGGGAGACCTCGACAGGGGTAGCGAGCGTAGTAGGACACTGACTTGTCAAAATGGACGTCACGAGAGTCGAGGAAATGGTGGAGGGGCGGGTGGTAAAACACAAAGTCGGGAGCGTCCACTGGGATGGAATAGATTGTCTATAATTGCAATAACATGCAGCTTTTGTTGCATCTACCACCAGTTTATTGGCCCTAATGATCACCAAAATGCATAATCATGCCAGATTTTCGCTAAAAAATGCATCCACGTCACTCATCCTCCCATTCAGCACTCTCAGCCTAAAAATATCCAAAGAGAAAGTTGATTTTGGCGTGCCTATAAAGAAGCATGCATTAGCGCATATGTGCTTCTCTGCAAGCGCCCTAAGGCTGCCATTCCCCTTCGAATCCAAGTCTTGGAATCTCTTCACCCAGGGGAACTTGGAATACTCCTCAGTCGCCTTTGAAAAGTCTGGCAGGCGCTCAACCACGAGCGGGCTCCTGCTGTTCCAGCCTGACAGATAGGGAGCACACGGATGGAGAGTCACGAAACAAGCAGGGGTTCAAGGCAAAAGGAAGGTCGAGGCTGAATATGAATGTCGTAGACGGCAATGTGGCAAGGCGAGGCGGTAGACAACGTGACTGAAAACATTTAGAGCAACTGTGAAGGCAGCACACATTGTCTCGTCGTTCACGACCCGGAAATGCGTGAAGTCGCTCCGCCTTAGATGCACCGCTGCATACTCCGAACCCAGAAACGTGTCGATAAATCCGTTAAAGAAGCTCTCTATAACGGGGGGAGGCTGCCAGATGTCCGCACAGGTGCTTTTAAAGGGCGGAATTGCGGCCCAGAAGGGAAAAGGGAGGTGAACCAGATTAAAGACATAGGCATCCCCCAGGCTGATGACAGGCGCGTCACTATAGGGGGCGTATGTTTGTAGAAAATTCTAGGATGGGATGGGGATGAAAATGGGGATGGAATGAGTGATTATGCTGGGATGGGATGGTTGATCATGCTTGGGTATGGCTGGAAGACGATGATGTATGGGAGAGAGATGCGTGGATAGAGCTTGGTGGGCAAGGGTGGCATATTCCAGCTGATCCGGAAGAGTGATGTATGGATATTGGTCCTTCACCTGTGGCGCATGGGAGGGGGGAGAGTGGCAGGAGAGTGCAACGGGTGGGGATGGGGAAGGGAATGGGGATGGCTGAACGTTCTGGGGTGTTTCGGGCTGTCTGGGAGCGAGACGTGCGGATGATGCACGTTGACCGTGTGGGGCATGTGGATGGGGGAGAGTGGAGGGATGGGGATGGGGACTGGACGGGAGATGGGAATGGGGATGGAGATGGAGTTGAGGTTGGGATGGGGATGGGGATGGGATAGTATGCTGGGATGGGTTGACTGAACATGCTCGGGCATGGATGGATGATGATGCTGTATGGGAGAGAGATGTGCGGATAGATAGAGCACCTGCACCTGCGGACCATAGGTCAAGCCATGGGTATGGCCGGAAGGTGCAGCAGTTGCCATATAGGGATAGGGATGGGAATGGGGATGGGGATGGGGATGGGGATGGGAATGGGGATGGGGATGGGGATGGGAATGGGGATGGGGATAGGAATGGGGATGGGGATGGGGATGGGGATGGGGATGGGATGGGATGGGGATGGGGATGGGGATGGGGATGGGGATGGGGATGGGGATGGGGATGGGGATGGGGATGGATGGGGATGGGGATGGGGATGGGGATGGTGTTTCTGAGGTTTCGCTCACCCTGGCCCAGTTGGCGAGACATGTGTGGTCCGAAACACACACAATGTGATCGATTGCCACGTCACGACCCTCCCTCGCCACGTACTCATCCACCCTAATAACCGTCTCGTTAGTGCCATAAGCCGGCGCGAGGCACGCCCTCATTTTAGTCACATCCACGATATTCTCCCAGCGCCAGCAGAACGTATCATAAGCCGTGCCACAGCTCTCGTTTGGAATAATCAGCGTGCGTTGCAGCAGCGCGGCGGCGATTAAGTAGTTCCGCAAGCACTGCTGCTGATTGGACAGCCGCCCGTAAACGCACAGGGCCAGAAGATACCGGTTTTTAGGTGGCATCCAAGATTCGATCTTCTTCTGGGATGATTCAATCAACTGCGCCGTTGTAGCGTACGGAGATTTGATTGCCTTCTGCTTCAGCTTGTCGGCGCTGTTATGCCCCACTCCATTGACAGTTGTTCCTGTAACAGGGATAGCTGTAGGGGGGATAGGCGCGGCCCCTGTATCGGCAGCGGGTTCGCGCCTTTGCCCCGAATATGGCACAATTTCCTCCAGAGTCCGTCTTTTGATGATGCCCCGGGCCGCCGTCTTTTGAATCGTACCACTGCCACCGCTGCCACCGCCGCCGCCGCCGCCGCGTCTCCTGGCGACTGCGCTCTCACTGGAAAAGCTGCTGGCTTTTCCAACCCTCAGATCGCTCCACTTGATGTTCATTTTCGGGAAATGCGGGTTGAGGAAACGCAGTGACTCGTGCCACGTCTGTGGTGGCCGTTGAGATGCCGCGCCGGCTTGTCCATTGCCAGTGGAGCCATGCCCGTGGAACGCGGCTGAGCTTTCAATACTCCCGGACGCGGCGGTCGCGCCGGCGGCGACAGCGGCGCCGCAGTTAAGATTGAAGCAGAGAACAAGCAGCGACGCGGCGAGAACTGCATAGTAGCGACGCGAGATACCTTCAGTGCGGCGTGAAGTACTACTATCCGCATTGGGAGGCGCTCACGGCGGCGGCGACGGAGCAGCAGTTGATGATCTAGTCCGCGACATTGTAACGATCCGCGTTAGCAACGCCGCGGCGGCGACTCGGAGAAAGCCTTTCTGAGAAAGCCGCTATTCGAGGCTTCCTTCAACATCGCGGAAAAGACAAGTGCCGAAAGTGACGTAATTGTGACTTTCCCGCCACTATTACGTATACGGAATTCTGGGATAAAAATGTGATGGTTGGAAGTACCAGGTTTTCCGTCACATACAAAGTGACCAAAAGGTCATGAAAATGTCACGTTGACATCACACTAACGTCACTTTCAACGTGACGGAAATGTTACGGCTATGTCACGTGCACGTCACGCGTTCGTAACCCCGCTGGATGCCAATGTGCAATTCGACAAATGTCACAATTTGTCTGCTTTTAACGTCGACCCGACATCTGGCTAGCATTAGGTCAGCGTGTCGACCATCAAGTTTCAACAATCTACTGTACTGTGCGCTCCGGATCATCGCACCCCCCAATCACCTGCCTGCACGTGAACGACGAGGATCAACACAACATTGTATCCGCGCCCTTCATTTTTAGAGTTCGTACCCAATGCCGATGCACCATTTGTGACACACGCTTGCGCCTTATTCGTTGAAATTCCAGTCTGCTTCTGGCTGACCCCTTACGTGTACGCGCCAGATGACGTTGAAATGTGACCACGTGTACGGCTTTAATTTTACATTTGACCCTTGTTCTACCCATGCATATCGATATCCCACCGTCCACGCCTGGGTGCATCGACGATACTGCACCACCCACGCCCCCATCACACGTTGAATTATGCAACGTGTTCACCCGGGATGCCGTTGACAGTCACCGAGCTGTACGGCCTAAATCATGTGACGCACGGATTTGTCCTCCACCTGGCATGCATCCTACCGTCCACAATTCCACACATCGACGACACTCGTCGCACCGCGGTTCCTCCATCTACGGCTGTAAACGTTCGTCACGCCCAGATGAATACATCATCTCACGGCATCCAACGGCGCTAGGTCGAGCCGCCTATTAACATCGGAGGAATCCTTTTGGCCATTACGAATCCCTAGCGGTAGCAATGCCGCAGTATGGTTCTTGGGGCTATGAATACTCTTCTCAACTTGCACTTGGGTTTGTGTACGGGATGAGTTTGAGCGACGGTATCTGACCATTCTCGATAGTGCTTCTTATATCCCGCTTCAATTACATATTCTCTCTTCTCACTTCATAAGCAACCTCCTCGCCCAGACACTAACCCAAAATCACGTAATGCAAATTAACTCTTCAAGGAAGAGTTCGTGTCAGTGAGCGTCATGGCGCAGACTAACGGCTCGGCGAGCCCCCATTTCAGTTAAGCCTGCGGAGTCCCAAGGCTGGCGCTTGCTTGGGCGCTCGCGGTCCTCCCGCCAGCTATGCCGTCCGCAGAGACGCGGAGACCATGGCGGCCCCAGGCCCACGTCTGAGACGCCGCATCGTACTCTGGCTTGAACTCAGCGATGGCCCGGGTAACAGCACTCTTCACAAGGACGTGGAGGCCGTCCACGATGTGCGCGTTACATCCTGCGGAGTTTGATAGGCGGCCCTTGCGCGCCTCCCAGTTCCGGATTGCATCTGTCACCTGCGCACAGCACCGCACAGAAGCACGCATTCATCATTCCAAAGGCTGGGAAACCAGACCATTTTTATACGCAGGTGAGTCTTCATACCAAGTGCTCCAGCCACGCCACGTGGTACAGCTTCAGCGTCACTGTCCCGTTCACCATCCTTGGCCTGAACGCCGCTCTTGCGCATGCGGTAAATGCGCCAGATGCGAATGGAATCCCGTTACGATCATAACTCCAGCGAGATAGTGCAAGCCTCCCTGCAACATTCACCACACAGGACATGTGCACGCATTAGATACCAGGCTTTCTCCATTTTCAGCGTGAAAGCGTTAAAACCACTAACACTGATCGTACCCGCGTCGACGTCTCCAAGGCCGACCATATCCCGGACCCTCGCCAGTGTACGCATAGAGGGTGGCGCCCAGGGGCTTTTTGCGTCACGCTCGTCTCGAAACAACCCCAGCTTAGGGAGCGAGATGTCGCGGACCCTCCCAGCAGCACCCGTCTTCCAGTCGCTGAGAGACCTGTTGAAGTCGACCCGACGTGCCTTGTCAGCCGCGAGTGCAAGGCTTGCGTAGTTGACAGGGAGGTTATCAACGACTGCGCATATGCCCCAGGTCTTGGCGGCGCTGCTCGGGTAGAACGTCAAATGCTTGTTGGGCCGCCGGATGAAAAGATGGTCGCGAGCCTGCTCACATATTTGCTGCAGGGGCGACAGACGCTGCTCATCATCAACTGGCCCACTTGGTCCGCGAAACGCAGAAGCGCAAAATACACCCGCGTTGGCAAACATCACGTGAAGCGTACCTTCCATCCCTTGTCGGCAGGCAGGAGACTGAGTGCCTCTTGCAGAATCGCTGATGACGACGATCGAATGTGACCCTCCAGTCCTTCCTCGACCTCTTCCTCATCCTCGGACGCCGTATCCGATGTGGTCCGAGTACGACGCTCCGTACGTCGCTTTCCATTGCCGGATGCGCGCTTCCGACGCCTCTTCCTCTTCTGTTCGCCGTCACCTGCAGGCTTTGCAAGAAACACAGATTCCAGCCTGGAAATTGCACGTGCTGTAGCTTCTTGCAGCTCGCGCAAGCTAGTCATCTCCAACCGCGTCACCGGAGTTTCATGCGGCCAAATTTCCGCACCAGCGTCCTCCTCATCCGCGCCTGCTTCTTCTTCGTCCTCGGCTTCCGCAGCATCTTCGTCATCGCTCTGCACGGAGTTGAGCCTCGGGAGGGCCTCATTGGGATTGTCATCCGAAGATGCAGCTGGCGGTGCTTCGGGTTCGCATTCTTGGCGTGCGGACCCCTGGAGGACTTCGTTAACGTTGCGTTTGCGCCGGCGGCGCGACGACTCCCCTTCCACAGCATCCTCCTCGTCCTGCCGGCTGGACCGTGCGGTTGACGAGCTACTGTCGGACGTGCTGCCATGCGACATTCGCGAGTCTCCGCCCCCATGGGAGGGAGTGACAGCTGCAGCATGTAAATGTGACGACACCAGATTAGTACCGTTATATTGGCCCCAAGCATTGCGGCGCACATAATTAAATCTAGGTATGCCAAAACAAATCCATAAAACACGCCGACTTACGCGGGGCCGAAGGAGGAGCCCGTGCTTGCTGCGCATTGGCGTTTTTCGGAAGAGACCGACGAGGTTTGGCCGTCACTTGACGCCTAACTGTGCCAGGCAGAAGGTAAGAGTTCAGCAGGTAAGCTGGAGGCTGGGACACGCGCTGACTCCTGCCCTCACGGGACGAGACGGGTCCGGCGGTAAAACTGTCCATTGACGCTAGTTGTGTGGGCAGGAATTAGTCCATTTTGGCACAGACTGTCTATACTTACGCAGTGAGTGACCCATCCTGACCTCTGCTATGCCGTGTCTCCTTCCACGTGGCTCGCCCTTGGCTGCCAGACTAGTTTCGTCATTCGCCGGATTTGCACACTTGGCACTCGATGTACCCAACATTATCCACAGTACTCGATACGACGTCGCGTCCGTGCCTCTCTAATATGCCAACATCAGTACACTTATCAGCAGACATATTGCACAAGACATGCGACGTGAGTTGTGGGATAACTACAGGTAAACACGTACAAAGCAATAAATGTATTGCTCTTATGTTAACATTTCTACAATCCTTGCCATTTCCTTTCACATCCTGCTAATACAACCACTACCATAGCTCAAACGTTTTTCACTCACAGCAAACAAGCTAGACGCCAAGGATCCTATCCCAGCACAGAGCGAGTGGAATAAGTGACGCTCCTACCCCAGCTCTGGCTCTTGCATCTCCTCGTCAGATGCATCATCCTTCAGTGTCAGCGGGTACTCCCCTTCGTCATCACCAATTCTGATAGGAGGCGAGCGGGAACCTCCATTTTCGAGAGGGAATGGAGTCCCGGGTGCAATGCCCACTTCTGCCATTGCTGACCTCCACTGACGCCACCTCCACCACAGACGAGCCTTAACAAGGTGCCTCACGTCCGATCTCACACACCCATTCAGCGCTGCCATCTCTGTATCAGTCAGCACCTTCA